CACACACACACACACACACACACACACACACACACACACACACACTCACTCTCACATACACACGCACACACATTCTTCTGTCTATTGATGGGGAGCGCCGCCTGCTGGAAACTGGGTTCAGCGTTCCATGAACATCATGAATGAAGCACCAACCGGGACCCCACACACACATGAATGAAGCACCAACAAGGACCCCCTGACACACACTCTTCGAGTTGTGTATAGCGAACGTGACAAAACGTACATACAACATAATCACCACCTTGCCCTTCCCCAAACACATTAATAAACAAACTATGGGTTTTCCACCCACGCCCTCACGATCAGTCAATACACATTTGTGTATCGCAAACATCCAGTTGATGTAGCTCAGTGCTTAGAGCACCGGTTGGAAATGCGCATTGCGGTATGAGGTTCGGGTTTAAATCCGCAGCCTCACGCATGGACACTGGCAGGGCGTTAGAATGACGCACGGCTGGATATACACCCCTTGGGCTGACGCCTGGTAAGCTATTACAGACACTGTCTGCGCACCATCCAGGGGGCTGCCCATGGTGTTGTATGTTGGAATCTGGCCTATGAGGGGTTTGCCCGATACACTTAGCAGTCTAATGAGGATGCAGGTACGGGTTTGTGGTTAGACTGCTCACGTGTGTTGGTTACCTTAGGCTCTGCTTTGTGCGGGGCACGGACCTGAGGTGGGATGGGGTCCCATTTGGGGGGAAGGTTGGTATGGGACAAGCTCTGTTGGAGGACATCGGTGGGTAACCTACAGTTCACAGCCCTTAGGCTGCGGTATAGTGTGCTCTTGCGTTTGTGTCAAGGTGTCACATTTTCGGTGGCGGGCGATTAGGACGCAAAGTGGGTTCTTAGGGGACAAATGTTTTTTGGGGACCGGTCCTTCGCAAAATTGCGGACTACCTACAGCTAGCTCTTCTAGAACCGGACTTTTGAAAAAAGGAAGGACCGGTCCTTGGGTGGAAGTGGACCCCAAAAAGAAGTGGGGCGTTGCACCGGTCCCCGGGTAGAAGCGGACCCCAAAAAGAAGTGCGGGCATGTGAACTGCAAAAGGGCCCTCAGGCCCAGGCATTGAGCCCTGTCTTCTCAAAACAGGGAGATCAGGCACAACGAAATAGGCGTTTTGCAAGAGGCAACTTTGGCGATTTTATGTGCTCGGAGGAAAATGCACAAAAATATGAAATTTTGAGAATCCATAGATGAGGTCGTGTTCTTTCCGGAAATAATAATAGAACATTTACAAAAAATCATTTACACTGCGAAATACTCGCCGCGCCGATTCGGCACATTTTCCATTTTTGCCACTCAGCCATGCCTGGGCCAACTAAAAAAGTACTCCAAATTCAGTGAGCTTTCACGCTCAGAAGAATGCGTGAAAAAACCTGAAAATCGAAGTACTCGTAGATTTTGTTGTGATATTTCCAGGAAAAACGCTAAATAAATAAAAAAAAATCATTCCAACTGCAAAATAGATGGCGACCGCAATGTGACCCATAT